TCGTACGGTGAAGGCTACGTATGGAGTACTTACAGTGATCGTACGGTGAAGGCTACGTATGGATTACTTACAGTGATTGGACGTCGAATGCAATCTGCTGAGGCAGTTGCATCTGCTGCAGACATTTGACCATCGTTGATAGTAATAGTGCCCAAACAGTCTGGAGAAGAGGCTCCTTTCTTGACACTTTCCGCTGATGCTGTTGCCTCAAAGACGGAGTACGTCCCTGCTCTCAAGCCTTGCACGAACCCAGCATTAAGGAGGAACTCATCTTCAAAAATAACATCAATGATCTCGACTCCTCCTTCGGCCTCCTCGACTAAAATAAATGTTGAATGGTTGATAAAAATATACAAATAAATAATAACTAAACTGGGCCGTGTGGAGATACGGATTTCATCTTCAAGTGYTTTAAAGATCTGTCGCAGTGAGTGAGCTTTGGCTGTTCATTTTGACCAAAGCACGTTGCACACAAGTCTTCAACATCGTCGGTCAACTTCTATGATCCTGTATTTACACCACGTATTGACATATAGGCCACCCAACTATTGCTTGAGAGAAAGAAAAGAGATACGCACGCTTTTGTTATCGGCACGCGCTCTTAGCAAAATGCGGATTACACTGATCATGAAACAATTTACTGATGGATTGTTCTGAAGTTAACTTTGATAAAGAATTTATTTCATCTGGTGTTGTACTAAGGTTTTCATATAGCTCAGAACTACATGTCGATGTTGATTTTGCTTGTTCGACTGTACAATTGGAAGATTATCAAATAAACATATTATCTCCTCATTTTGAATGTAATCTTTTTGCTTAGGTCTTGCGTAAACTAAAACGCCACAGTTTGCATTCATAGTGTCCTCAAGACTTTTTAACAGACAGTTAAACTCTAAGTTAAGTTTTACTCCATCAAACTTAAGATCTCCAGCTATTTTGATTATATTCAAGTCTCTGTATCTGCTGTGAGGCAACGAGTCTCTAAGATCAGCCACAGTATTTGTATTTGGCGGTATTTGTCCGAAGACGGCTCGAGTTGAAGACGTCGCCATCTTGTTTGTTTGTTTGTTTTGTTTTGTTTATTTATTTTTTTATTACACATTTATCTAGACCAAAATGCATTGCGCCGACGGGTCTCCCGCGGGTTGCGATGTGGACTTTGCCTCGCGGGATAACAAATCATGACGTAATACCACAGGTAATCGCATTTTGCTTAGAGCGCGCGTCGATAACAAAAGCGTGCGCATTCGTTCTTTTTTTTCTCTTAAGGAACAGTTGGGAGGCCTGTGGTGTTGAATGCAATGTCCCTTTCTACGAATAACAAACTGTTTCGGCTATCGTTATGCCATCGTTGAGAGCCATAAACACTCAATAACATCTATCATACTCGCAGAATTGACTCCTGTATTTTTTCTGATTGGTTTCAAAAAGTCAGATAATTACATCCAAMCTTTGCTTGTCACGGTTATTTTTAATTTGCATATACTTTAATTATAAGTAATAGCATGGCTCTGAGGGAGATTAGGGATTAAATGTCCCCGAAGCCGAGGGCAGATAAGTTGAAGTCCCGACGGCCGCAGGCCGGAGGGACTTTTACTTATCTGCCCGAGGCTGAGGGACATTTAATCCCTAATCTCCCGAGGAAGCCATGCTATTACTTTGTAATACCATGATTTCCGAGGAAAAAATTGAAGTTGAACTTGAGCGAATTTGAATTCTTGTGTTTTTTGTATGCTCCAATGTTTTCAATTCATGCATGAATTGGAATATGACATGAAAAGAAAGGATACGCACTGTTCTAAGAGTATCACTCGCCGAACAACAGTACAAAATGATATTGATAATCCGACCATTGTTACTGATTTCCCACAACGAACTTTGTTTGAAATTGCTTTTCAGTTCTATTCAATGCTGAAGTTAACGAACCTTAACTTCAACCGCGAAAAGTTGTTTTTATATTTGCAAGTATAATGCCAAGAAGCTTATCAACTATTATCAAACATTGAAATTCGTCAAGTGCACATGCTCAGCGGTACGAAGTAGATACTCGGAACCAGAGCTACTCGGTCAATTTGTCCCAAAAATCATCCCACATTTCAGTGTGAATGAGACGATAACCAGACCGTTCATTGCAGAGGTAAAAAGAAGACAGCTGTAGGGACATTCAGTTGTCCCTGCTGGGAAGCAAAGGTTTCCTTTGCCTTCCGTTTCTCATGAATAACATGAGGGACGATTAGTCTAATCGTCCCTCATGTTATTATGCATGAGGGACGATTACTGGTAATCGTCCCTCAAGTTATTATGCATGAGTGGACGATTACTAGTAATCGTCCCTCATGCCATTCATGAGGGAGGGATGTTCGCTTGTAAACATCCCTCGGAAGACAAAAGAATCCGAGGTGATCATGGTATTACTCTACTTAAAGAATATATTTATGAATTCCATAATTACCTTGAGAAATTCCAAAAAGTGCAGTGTTGGAATTCACTGATTCAAACTGAGGCATCTGTTTAATTTTCCCTCGTTCCTGATTGTTCTTTAAAATCTGAACCTCATTCATCAGAAGTCTAAAGACAGACAACGTATACATCAATAATACTCTTATTGCAAGCTCTACTTTGCTCTATTCTCGACTCAATACCAAATAACATTTTAGAAGATGTCAAAATACTTTTATCCCTCCTTTGACGCACAGAAAAGAAAAAAATCAATCAGGAAATTCGTCTTTACCTAGACCTGTACAACAAATATCAAAAACAATTGAATTGTTTTATTGATGGCCCGAWAAAACGCATGGAATTTGTGAAGAAAGACAAGGATATTAAATGAAGCTAACACATAGCATTACTACTTTGTTCCGTATTATTGTCGGGTTTTTCCCTCTTTCGATGTAATTTCGACTTTTGAAGATATGTATTTCATTTCATTTGTTTTTGTTGTTGTTTATGTGTTTGTTTGTTGTTCTAATTATAATTAGAAAATCTAGCTATTACTGTAAAATTTCGTTTTTTTAACTCCAGGTTTTTCTGGCTGTAGACGATTGTTACTCTGCATTACTCAATTATCTTGCGGCGCTCGTAATCAATGAATCAGTGGTCAGGTGAATTATGGGAGGATGGATAGATTAATGAACAGATAAAAAATAACACAAGCACATTAGGGACTGTGCAATAATTACCAGGAGGGGAGGATGGAAATCTAAATTCAAAGTCTCGTTGATGTGTGGTTGAAAGTGACCAAGATATGAATTTTTTTTCAACTATTAGTTTTTTCAATTTTGTCACATAAATTGAGGATGTAATTTTCACATAAATTGAAGATGTAGAAGCTTAAAAACATATTGATGATTTATTAGACATAACAAGCACAAGTAATATCAAAGTCGTTTTTGWCCATAAAAACGTTACATAAGCCCTTTCTGGACCTTGAAAACCTTTGTCAGGAAAAAAATTATTTGAACGAAGCAAGGGCACCACATCTGATTGTCAGCTCCTCCTGAAAGTTTTTGTCTTTACTCTTAGTATGGTATATTAGTATAGTATAGTAGATTAGCATAGATCCAGATGAGTAAGCCACCTCTTGCATCTGGGTTCGTCTTTAGTGAATTTTGGGTTGCTACAGTTGACTCGACTCGCTTGTGCTTGTTTTATAACATTATAACTAAGGT